AAATCGACTCTGACAAATTAGTATAAGTATATAGTTAATATGTTAAATGTGAAAATAACAAATTGCAAATTGAACTTCAATAGAGGAAAAATTGAAAAAGTATTGTCGAAAGCTTTCATGGCCGGAATCACTGAGTTGTTGTAGGTTTTTTCGAGCTATATGGCCATGTCTAGAGGCATTCTCTCCTGACGTTTCGCCTGCGTCTATGGCAAGCATCCTCACTACCTCTGAGGATGTTTGCCATAGACATTGTCCGGCCATGAAAGCTTTCGACAATACTTTTTCAATGCAGGCGAAATGTCAGGAGAGAATGCCTCTAGAACATGGTCATATAGCCTGAAAAAAACCTACAACAACCCAATTGAAAAGGTTGCAATAATTAAGAGGACATGGAAACCCATTAGGAATTATTTAGAGAATGTGCTAAGATGTGGAGTGGAAAAATTAAGACTGAGATTGATATTTCAAATGTAACTTCTGTAGTTTGCTGTATAAATTGCATGTACAGTACAAGGAGAAGAGAGTGGGAGTGGGATAAAGCAATGAAACAACAATAAAAATACAGTAAATAAATTTTAAAAATCAAAGTGATGTTTCCTTTGCTCTGGGAAGAGACAATGGAGGTTATTGTCTCACTTCTCCATCAGATTGAAGCACAATGATACACGTTCGCACTGTGTGACCAAGTGTGCTGGTACAGCTGTAGCAGGAGCTCCAATTCTGTTTGCTTTGCATTAAATGTTTGTTTGCAATCCCAGGCTTGTGATTTTGCAGCAGGGTTGAAGCCGAGCATGACCCCCCCCCAACAAGGGATGGTGACTTATAGTTCTGCAAAGGACAAGGGTACCAGACTGCACAATAGGGGTTAAGTCTTGGTCAATTTGCCAAGGCCTTAACAAACAATGAGGACCCCGTGAAACTTTGGGAATGGCTAGACCTTGGGGACTCTGCCTCTCTCGAGAGAGAGAGCTGTAGTTTTCCAAGGACCATGGGACCGGCTTCCATCCCAGCGCTGCAGGGCTTTGTGTCTTGGCCCAGTGGAACTCCATAGACTCCCTTTGGTGGCTTTTTGAATTCTGCTACATTCCTGGACTTCACTCTCTTCAAGGACTTGGTCTCTACCCATGAACTTTCTTCAAGACAACTTATGAATTCATGCTGTGTCCTGATATCGTCTGCTTTTTATAATTGGTATTATTAATCTCTCTCTGGGGTCCTGGATGGGAAGATAGCTGCATATGATTTCCCTGTGTATAATTTCTATATGGTTTTTATGTTTCCTTGTATTCTTGACCCTTTGCCCCTTCTCCCTCCAAAGAAATATGTAAGCGAACCCTCTGGCCTTCAGAAACAAAAGACTGAAACCTCCCGCCAAAGACACATTTGCATGGATAAAAGAAGGAGATTCTTATCTCTAGCCTCGGAAGATGGCCCACTAGAGTAAAGCATTGTTTGACAAAAGTTTCTGTAAGATAAAGGGAAATCTTCCCCTCTGCTTTTGTTTACTTAGCATTAACCTCAGGCTGCCATCATTGTTCTCCTGTCTCACAGCCAGGAAGGATTTTTGTCTCAGAGAGCACATGGCATTCCTTTGTTTACCCCTTTCCCAGATTCCTTTGTGCTCCCTCATCCCGCCTCCATCTCTCCTGATTGCCTGTCGCCACCAGGTGGCAGAGGTCTCCCCATTGGTTCCTACGGACCACTGGAGCCCATCACCCAATCATGGCAGGGAACAGGGAAGCCGGGGCGGGGAGTTTGAACTCTGCAACTTTGAATTTGCTATAAATATGACTGTATTGGTGTATTCCCCTCATGCTTAGCTTGGCGAATGATTGCAGCTTTGCATCCGGTTTCAGCTGAATCTCATTAAACTTCGATGGCTTTTCTTCAACTGGTGAGACTTTTCATTGGGAAATCAGGGAAAAATATGGGATGCTTCTCTGTCTCGCCAGGGAAAAAAGAACTCTTTGAGGAGTCTAATTGGTCTCTGCCTCCTGGCAAAGACCCCTAAATTTTAGCTCTAAATCAGGGTGGCTTCCTGTTATAGTTTGCAATCATACGGCAAATCACCTGTCAATTATCGTTAGGGTCCCTGGTCCCACCCCTTTTTGAGTTTTGGAGGGAATAGGAGCCTTTTTGAGTCAGTCCACACAGAGCAGCTTTCCACACAGGACATAAAACGAAGAGCTCCTGTAGAAAGCTTCGTCTTCTACAGCTTGGCCGGGGAGATATACAGCCTACAGCCTACAGCTTGGCTGGGGTTGTTCACCCCTGCAGATCCTCTGCTGAGGGACTTCAACCAGCCATCACAACAACTTGAACTCCTTTTTCCCTGGAAGTCTACAAAGCTCTGCCTGGTAAGGGTCTCTCGCGGAAGCCAGAAGCAGTTGGTACTGGGTGCATGGGCTCCATGCCAACAGAGACAAGTACAGACTGCCCAGATTAGAAGTTAAGGATTTCCCCGTTAGTTAGTATACAGTTAAGAAGATAGTGCCTGTTCCCAGTGGTCACGATTGCAAGAGCCAATAAACTGTTAAGAATGCTTTAAAGTACCTGTTTGTTTTCATCAATAAAGAACTTTGTTGGACTTACTTTAAGCCTCTACAGAACTCTGTTTTGGGGAGGTCCAAGGGCCTTTAATCTGAGGCAGCCCCGGCATCCCGTTGGGCACACAGAATTTATGTCCTGTTCACAGTCATATGCACAGGCCCAGCGTGCGACAGCACACCAAGCAACACAGTAATAATCAGCCTCATCTTCAGCTTGAACGTTTGTGATGGTTAAATAGGCGTCATTCCCAGAAGCAGATGCCGTGAACCAATCTGGGATCCCTGGTCCTCTGCTGCTGCAGCCATTGCAGTGCACAAAGTGAGGGGGCTCTCCAGATTTCTATTGAACCCAGCTACCCACTACTTTTAGAGCAGGAGAGTTTAATTGTTCCTCCCTGGGACACAGACGCAAAGGGAGGTTGAGTCACCGTTCCCTGTGAATGAACACCTGGAGCAACAACAAGAGAGACAGAGAAGGAAAATGAGAATAAAATGGCACATAATCTTTTTCTTGGCTTTCACAAATGCATTCCATTCCTATTCGAAATGCCCACTCTATTTGGTCATCCAGACCTTCATCACCTTACCTGCCCAATAGCTGAACAACGAAAAGCACAGCAGAGTGTAGGCCATGGTGAGCTTCCAAAATGGCTTCCAAGATGGCTTTAGCTCTCAGGAGGAAAATGAGGGCTGTCTGAGACTTTCCCCTCTATTTTAAGTTGCACAGAGGTAAAACATGTTCCCTTCATGCAAATCAGCCTTGCAGTCCTTGGTGGTACAAATTAATTGCCCGACTTATCGGGCAAGGCCTGTTGCGGTGGGGGGCGCCCTCCCACCGGCCATGTCAGTAGCAGGGGGCTTCTCCTTCCCAGAAGCCCCCTGCACGGCGGGAAGTTTTACCGCCTCTCGGTCAGCGGGCCAATCAGCGGCCGGCCCTATCCAACACCTGCCATTGGCCAGGGGCCAGCGGCTCCTTTCGCCCAGCAGCCTCAAATAGACTGTGTAGGGCTGGGCAGGCACGAGGTCTGCTTTGAGTTGTCCTCCCACCCACCCTGCACGATTTATGTTTTGTACAGTGTTGCAGTTGTTGTTCTTTATTTGTTTGTCACAACTTCGGTTGGCATTTGGCATGGGCCCTGGATCTGGTTACTACCCCTTCCCTACTGGCTGGGGAGGGAACATCCGGCAGTTCCCAGGGGTGCCGTGTTTTGTTGCCCAGTATTGTGCCGGTGGGCCCCCTCTTGGACTCTTTAGGTATCGGTCAGCAGCGGGTTGATCGATCTTGATCCAGAACCCATGCCTGGCAGGCAACCCTTTGTTCCTGTAATCAATAAATTAAGTTGTGGCCAATTTTTACTCCATCTATGTGTCCGTGTCATCCCTGGTTCTGTGGGCGGGAGGAGTGTCGCCCATCCACACGCAACAGGAAACAAATAGAACAGTGTTGATTTGCATACAAGTGATATTGGACTTTATCACAAGGAGATGCTATTTCACAGCAGTCGCATGATCACTGATAGCAGATAAATTTCAGGATGAGCCACCTTTGTTATCTTACCTTTCTTCGATGGCATGATTGCACCAGTTTTCCAATGTACTCTTCTGCAAAATCCTTCCACATAACTTGATAACTCCACTTTGGAGCTCTGTAATTTTTTTAATAAAATTAAAAAAAATGTTTGGAGTAATTTCTGTTTCATCAATGGCTAACAAAAAAATGGAAAATATTACTGAAATTCATTAAATAAACACAAAACAAGGGCCTTGGGTATATGGAGGGGGGTTTAAGGTGGGATTGCAGAGGATGTGAATCCGATCCCTGATATCACTTTATGGTTTAACTGTGAGAAGGAGGCAGACTGACGTATAGCATCATGCTTCTAAGCCATTTTGCCTGCCTGATGCAATAAAGCCCTTATTTTCAAAAAGGGTCGGGCTATCGAGATGAGAGTAATGCATGGTGGCACAACACTCATCACAAAAACATGCCAGATGATCAGATCACATAGCTGATCAGGCTTCATCTGATGTCCTGTGTTCAGTTCTGGACACCATATTTTAAGAAGGGCAGGTTGGAGCATGTTCAAAGACTAGGATGATAAGAGGAAGGGAGAACAAAATATAGGAGGGAAAGTTGAAGGAGCTTGACATTTTCAGCCTGACAAAAAGAAAATGAAGGAGTTCTATGACTTCACTCTTTAAATATCCCATTGGACGAAGATCCTGGAGACCAGAGTCCATTTCGGGCATGGGAACACACTGGGCAGCCTTGGGATAGCACCACACTCTCAGACCGAAGAAACCCTTTGATAGGGTTGCCATCAGTCAGAAATGGCATGAAGGTACATAACAGCACATCATGGGGTTCATGCCTCCAGGCCTAACTGAGCTCTTGCTGATGTTTCCCCTGCTCTGGGGAGAAACAGTGACAGTTTTTGTCTCACTTCTCCATCAGATTAAAGCACTGTGACACACGTTAGCACTGTTCGACCAAGCAATACAGTAATAATTGGCCTCATCTTCAGCTTGAATGTTTGTGATGGTTAAATAGGCATCGTTCCCAGAAACAGATGCCGTGAACCGATCTGGGATCCCTGGTCCCCTGCTGCTGCAGCCATTGCAGTGCACAAAACGGGGGGCCTCTCTGGACTTCTGTTGAACCCAGCTAGTATACTGGTACCAGTTGTCACTACTTTTGGAGCAAGAAAGTTTAATTGTTTCTCCCTGGGACACAGACGCAAAGGGAGGTTGAGTCACCATTCCCTGTGAACGGACACCTGGAGCGACAAAAAGAGAGACAGAGAGGAAAAATGAGAATAAAATGGCATGTAATCACTTTCTTGGCTTTCACAAATGCATCCCATTCCTATGCGAAATGCCCATGGGAACTCATTTTGCTTGGTCACCCAGAGACCGCTGTTATTTTAGACCTTCGTCTCTTTACCTGCCCAACAACCAAACAATGACAAGCACAGCAGAGCATAGGCCATGGTGAACTTCCAAAATGAGTTTACTCTCAGGAGGAAAATGAGGGCTGTCTGAGACTTTCCCTTCTATTTTAGGTTGCATGGAGGTAAAACATGTTCCCTTCATGCAAATCAGCCTTGCAGTTCTTGGTGGTAAAACAGGAAACAAATAGAACAGGGTTGATTTGCATATAAGTGATTTTGGACTTTATCACAAGGAGATGCTATTTCATAGCAGTCGCATGATCATTGATAGTGGTTACATACCAGAATGAGCACCTGTGTTATCTCACCTTTCTTGCACCATTTTTTCAATGTGCTCTTCTGTAAAAGTCCTTCCACATAACTACATAACTCCATTTTGCAGCTCTGTAATTTTTTAAAATTTATTTGTTTGGAGTAATTTCCGTTTCATCAATGGCTAACCAAAAAAAGAGGCAAATATTACTGAAAGACATTAAATAAAAACAAAACTGGGACCTTGGGAATAAGAAGGGGGAATTAGGATGGGGTTGCAGAGGATGTGAATCCGATCTCCTGACATCACTTTATGATTTAATTGTGGAAAGGAGCCAGACTGGCGTACAGCATCGTGCTTCAAAGCCAGTTTGCATGCCTCGTGTGATAAAGTCCTTATTTTCAAAAAGGGTTGGGCTATTGAGATGAGGGCAATACATGTTGGCACAAAGGCTCACCACAAAATCATGCCTAATGATCAGGTCACATAGCTGATCAGGCCTCATCTGGGGTCCTGTGCTCACTTCTGGACACCATGTTTTAAGAAGGACAAGTTGGAGCAAGTTCAGGGAAAGGTAACAAGGATAAGAGGAAAAGAGAACAAAATATAGGAGAAAAAGTTCAAGGACCTTGACATTTTGAGCATGTTGAAGGGGTGATAAAACTTCACTCTTTAAATATCTCATAGGACTATGACTCTGGAGAACAGGGTTCAAATCCCTGCTTGGCCACGGAGGCCCATTGAGTGAGTCTGGTGAAGTCATATATTGTCTGCTATGAAAGTCCTATGATAGGATTGCCATAATATCACCGTAAGTCATAACATTACCTGAAGGCACAGAACGGTGCTGTAGAGAAAGTGGCCACCAACACTTTTCTACCAGTTCAGTATTTGAAACAGGACACTGAAACAACCTAAGACCCACAAGAACAATTTGACAGGAATTCCCCAACACTGCAGAGCAATTTGGATGTGAAAGGAAGGGTCCTAAATTCAGTCCCTGGAATAGGATAAAAAATGACAGCAATCTCCCCACTCTCCCTTGTTAAGGAGACCTTGAGCTTCTTATTAACCAAGGAACTTTATTGGGTGACTCAATTCAGTGGAGACAAAGACTGAAGGTTTTTTATCTCACTTCCCCATGAGAATAGACAACTGTGGAACACGTTGCCAGTGCTGTAATAGCAAACACAATAATAATCAGCCTCATTTTCAGCCTGGACATTTGTGATGGTTAAATAGCCATTGTTCCCTGAGGCAGACACAGTAAAACGATCTGGAATCCCTTCTCCTCTGCTGCAGCCATTGCAGTGAACAAAGTGAGGGACCTCTCCGGATTTCTGTTGAATCCACCAGAAACGGCCATCCCAGCTTCCACTACTCTTCAAACAGGAGAGTTTCACTACTTGTCCAATGGAGATAGACTCGAAGGCAGGCTGGGTCACCATTGGCTGTAAATGGACAGCGGCTTACAGCATATTCAAATCATGTAAACAACAATCCATATACATCGATAAAAAGTATAAAACTTATTCTCTTTGCATCACGAAATGGTTATATGTTTCCTATAAAGTGGAGATGATTATGTTGTTGGCCTTTAGGACTTTCTAAACCTTTTCTCTTCCTTACCTGGGCAGTAATGGAGAAAGACAAAGAACAACAGGGCCCAGGTCATGGTGAACTCTTCAAAGTAGTCAGGCTTTCTGAAATGCACCAACAGTTGTCCTGGAGCTACCCTCTTTCTTCTTTTTTTAAATCAACCAGATTTGAAGAATGGTGCCTTCATGCAAATTCACCCTGTGGTCATTGGTTCTTCTGGAAAGGTCTTCTTTCACTGGGGAATAAATGACATCATGACAAAATCAAACACCCCATAGACCTTACTGGTATAAAATGCCTCTTTTAAGACCATATGGAATGTCCATACTCTAACATAGTACAAAGAGTTTCTAGGGTTGCGCCAGCAAGTCATCAAACCAAGATTTCTTTCAAATCGTAAATGGATCATAGCATGCTAACTTTAACATTAGGAGATTCATTCCAAATATGGAAGACCTTCTATTCTGAAACCTGAGATATGGAAAGATCAATAGGAAAGCAAATCAAGCCTTTCCTCTTTCTTTCAGCATTTGGATATCTAAACCAGGAGGGGCAGTCAATTGCTCTCTAGCCCAGCTGAACTCACGAGAAGGTAAGAAGGTAACAAGAGCTCTACTAACCTTAGAAAACAAGATCAAACACAATATCAATATTAAGACCTCTGCAATCCAACCTTTAGTTCCAACATTGGTCAAATAATGGAAAGCTCACCAGCAAGACATTCAAGAGATAGCTGTTGAAGAGACGACAACCCAAAAACCATTGTAGCCCCTATGTGGGTTCCCCAGAATCTGGTCTTGAGAGTCAAGCAAGCTCTTTCCAGGCCTTGTTCTCAGACCTTGAACTTCATGATCAAGGAATCTGTTTGGCAGCACTTGAGCTTAAGGCAGGTATGAACTAGAAGACCCTGAAATATCAGCTGAGCATCATGGACATTCTCCTCCTTCACATCATCACAGGAAGGAGCTGAGGCTCCTGTGGGTACCATCATATTCTCCTTTCTCCCATCCTGGAAAGGTGCAACAAGGTTTCCCCCTAAAGGACAAAGGCAGGAAAATAGGCAATACATAAACTAGATACTGAGGCAAAGCAACCAAATAGGGAACTACTGTTAGTCCTCCACATTTACTGGGGTTTGGGGACAGGACCACTGCAAAAGTGAAAATCACACAAAAAAACTTGCTATTTGCTAACCTGAGAATCATGGAATGAGGGACAACAATCAATGAATTGTTTGGTTTGGTGGGGGAGGAAAGGGAAGCACAGGTGCCTCATATGTCTTTAAGGATGCATCTGCATTGTTGAATTCATTTAGTGAATGTGTTTGTTTTATTATGATGTTGACTGATTTTCATTGTGTTTCTGTTTTATTTGGGCTTGTCCCTCTGTAAGCCGCCCGAGTCCCCTAGGGGAGATGGTGGCAGGGTATAAAAATCAAGTTGTTGTTGTTGTTGTTGTTGTTGTTGTTGTTGTTGTTGTTATTATTATTATTATTATTATTATTATTATTATTGTGTGACCCCACTTTCACTGCCATGGCTCCATGGTACAAAATTATAGTGAGGCACTCACACTCTTGTGCAAAGAAGGCCTGCAGCTCCCAGAATCCTATAGTATGGACCCATGGTAGTTCACATGAGGTCAAACAGCATTCATTCTACAATATAGAATGAATCACTTCATTAGGAATGGAATATTCTGCACTGAATCTCCCAGCCGTATCTCTCTGAATAACCTAAAAGGTTCAAACTTTGAGACTTTCCTCATCCTGGGAGGAGAAGAGAGGGTTTTGGTCTCACTTCCCCATGCAAATGGTTCACTGTGATACGAGTTGTCTGGGTTGTACCAACATACACAGTAATAATCAGCCTCGTCTTCAGCCTGGACATTTGTAATGGTTAAAGTGCCCGTGCTCCCAGAAGCAGTCGCCATGAACCGATCTGGGATCCCTGGTCCCCTGCTGCTGCAGCCATTGCAGTGGACAAAGCGAGGGGCCTCTCCAGATTTCTGTTGAATCCAGTAGACATAGCTGCTCCAGCTTCCACTGCTTTTGGTGCAGGAGAGTGTGACTGTCTGTCCCAGGGACTCAGATGTTGAAGCCAGCTGAAACAACGTTCCCTGAGAGCGGACACCTTTGATAAATGAAAGGAACAAATAGAAGTTCAATTGGCTTATCTACCATTGCCTTGTTGCACTTTAGAGATAATCTAAAACTCTTTACCGCCTTACCAGCATAGTAACTGAGAAGTACCAAGAACAGCAGGGCCAGGGCCATGATGATTTCTCCAAAGGAGGTGCACTTTCTGAAACACCCCTGCAATTCTCTGGCTGCTTCCCCTTCCTTCCTTTTTCAAATCAACCCAAAGTGAGGAAAGAGACCCTCATGCAAATCTTCCCCACGGCCATTGGCTGTGCTGGAGCCTCATGTCTCTCTCAGGAATGCGTAAACAAATGGCAGCAGCAAAGACAGAAGAATCCATTTACCTAATGCTGTTTTATAAAATGGAGATGGCCATTGCCCAGGATGACAGTGGTTCGGGGATCTGAATTGGCTTAAATGAGTCTCAAAGCTACAGGGTGCTTCAACACGGGATAACATGAGGATGCCTTCTTGGTTTAGTAAGAGTCCCACACTGGCCTCTAATGTCAACTGAAAGGCTATTTTTAACAACAGGAGTTCAATATCATGATTAATCAAGTTTAAAGACTTCTCTAGTCTGCTCTTTTGTTCCAACAGTGGCCAAGGACATGTTCCAATGGGAAGCCAACCAGCAAGACATCAAGAAACAGGTAACATGAAGACCACTACAAACCTGTCCTCTCACTTTGCCCAGAATCTGGTCCTGCGGGCCAAGCAAGCTGTTTCTATGGTACCAAGGACTTTGGTCTTCATCTCAGATCATGAAATTAATAGTAAAGCAACTTACATAGCAGCATAATAAAGGAATGAACTACAAGATTTTGGAAGAGCGGCTGAGTCTCATGGAGGTCCTCCTGCTTCATATCCCCCCAAAGGTCTCCTGTGTTGGCCATCAGGTTCTATTTTGTCCCATCCTGGGGAGGTGGAACAAGTTTTCCCCCTAAAGGCCAAAGCCAGGAGAGCAGGCAACACACAAATGTAAAGTAACCCATTAGTGAACTACAGTCAGTCCTACACATTCGCTGGGGTTAGGGGCACAGGGACACTGCAAAAGTGGAAAACGACAACTTGAAAACTTGCTATTTAATAGCCTGAGAAAATATCACTCTAGTAATATGTAGGTCCCCCAGCATGACTCTATGGTCAATGGTTGCAGGACAATGTTTTTTCTGATCAAAACTGACCATAGAGTTGTACTGGAGGACCTAGAAATTTCTTGAATGAACATTTTTAACCTAATTCTCAAAGCCGACTGTACTTTAAACCGTGCCATGTTTGACCTTCAGCTTCTCACCAAAAATGTGGCTACCTTTGATTTGGAGAATCATGGAATGAGGGACAAGAATCAAGGCATGGTTTGGATTGGTAAGAAAGGGAAGGGAAGCACAGAGGCCTCAGATATCCTTAAGGGTGCATCTACACTAGAATTAGTTTGCTGTGATCCCACTTTCACTGCCATTGCTCTATGGTACAAAATGGTAAGAAATGCATTTTGGTGAGGCACCCATACTCTTGGGTACAGAAAACCTATAACTCCCAGAAGCCTATAGCATGGACCCTTGGTAGTTCAAGTGGGGTCAAACAAATGAATTTGACAGTGTAGAAGTTCCTGAAGTCTCTACTGGGTCCCTCCAGCACTTCATTAGAGTGGGATATTCTGCACTGAATCTCAAAGCTGCCTGTGCTGTACCAACATGCACAGTAATAATCGGCTTCGTCTTCACCCTGGAGATTCGTGATGGTTAAAGAGCCTGTGTTTCCAGATCCGGATGCCGTGAACCGATCCAGGATCCCTGGTCCCCTGCTGCAGCCATTGCAGTGAACAAAGCGAGGGCCCTTTCCAGATCTCTGTGCTGCTCCAGCTCCCACTGCCTTTGTTGCAGGAAAGTGTGATCTTCTGTCCCAGGGACCCAGACTCTGAAGCTGGCTGAGTCAACAATCCCTGAGAATGGACATCTTTGACAAAAGAGAGGAAAAAATGGAAATTAGTTCATCTACCATTGCCTTGTGCCCTTTAGGGATGATCTAAAATCCTTGTCTACCTTACCAGCATAGAAATTGAAAAGGACCAAGAACAGCAGGGCCAGGGCCATGGTGAGCTCTCCAAAGGGGTTGGGCTTTCAAAAATTCACCAACAATTGTCCAGAAGTTTCTCCTTCTTTCCTATTTCAAATCAAAGCAAGTTGAGGAAGGCATTCTCATGCAAATCTGCCTCAGGCCTATTGGCTGCGCTGGAAGTTCATGTATGAATGAATGAATGGTTTATTGTACTAGCCATAGGCCATGACATAAAATATACAACCTTTAAAAGTACAATAGGCACTTTCCAATACAAGTATTAAAACAACTTCCATATACTAGCTCTTTAAAATTATAGTAGTGACATAATAACAATTACAAATGTCTGGTTTGTATCATCCCCAAAATATCTTAATTTCCATTTCTAGCTTCTGCTGTGGACTTTACTAGTTTGGCTCGGATTTTTTGGGCTGCGACTCCAAATGTAGCAACCTTTAATGTTATATTTTTGGAATAATCTGCTAACAAGTCACAGATAACTGCTGACAGTTGCCATGCTGCCCTTTCTTCCAAAAGGGCTCCCAAAAGATTGTTTCAAGGGTCATTATACAGTGGGCAATGTAACAGATAGTGTGTTAAATCCTCTCTTTCCCCAGACCAACAAATACAAAGACATTGGGCATGAGGGATCCCTCTATGTCTTCCCACTAACCAGCCTGATGGCATTGTTTGAAAGCGCAGGGCTGTAAATGCTTTCCTAAGGGCTACAGATCTTAAATCTTGAAGATATTGTTGGCAATTTTGTAGAGGATACCAAGTGGAGAAACCCTGCTGTTTACTAGTCCGCAAGTTGTCAATTACGTCCATCTCAAAGATTTTGTCTCTAATTGCCTTCTTGTTCAACTGCATTAGGGTTGTTGTTGTTGACCCATCAAAATACTGGTGGAGCAGAGCTGACCAGTGTTGAGCCCAACCTCCTCGCTTATATTGCTCCAAAAAGCATTGTTTTGTTATACTCTCATCCTCCATTTCCAGAAGTCTCTTCCCATATGAAATGTTAAGCTTATGCATTCCTGCCTTAAGTGAAGGAAGATCCAATTCAAGCCGTAACAAGGCAGATGGTGTTCCAGGGGGAAGGGCTAAGAGGGATCTTACAAACTAATTCTGGATGCATTCAATCTGCTTTGTGTTGCCCTGTCTCCATATTTCTGCTCTATATAACAATTGTGGTAGAATTTTAACAGCAAATATCTTAATTGTGGGACATACCAAGGAACCCCCCTTTGTTTTCCCAAAGGCTAGAACTGATTTTGCTGACCTCCAGGCAGATAGTTTGGCTGCCTCTATATGAGTTTTCCAGTTACCATTGTTTGAGAAGTGGATGCCCAGATATTTAAAGCTGTGATATTTAAAGTTCATTTATATCTGAGGAACATATAAATTTAAGGAGGAAGCAAATATGGCAGAATCCACTGACATTATGGATATGGTTTTAAAAAATGGCAATGGCCTTTGCACAAGATGACAATGGCTAGGAGGACAAAGAAGGCTGCTGGTAGAAAGAATCTATATCCCAGGGATATAGATACGTGGCTTTGCCTGTAGACATGGGCCAGGACTGATCCTTAGCTTCTCCAGTTAGAAGGATCTGAGACAGAGGGAGAGAAGCTTCTCTGCCCATGACTCTGGATAATGAAATACACTCAGCACTGGAGAATTGACCTACCTGGATAAGGAGTATATAAATGCCCTCTCATGGAATTGATGAAGCAATTCTCTAAACAACATTGTACTTAAATGTGTGATAATATGAGGACACCTTCTTTGTTTTGTGAGAGTCCCACTCTGGTCTCTAATGTCAACTGGAGTTCCATTTTCCACAATAGGAGTTCAATCACCCATACTGAACGTCTCCTGTTTTGAAGTTTCAGTGATTTAAAGATGGGTGGGAAAGCATGTCAAGCCTTTCCTTTTCTTTCTTTCCATATTGAAATATCTAAACCAGGAGAGACATTCAACTGCTCTCCAGCTCAGCCCAGCCAAACTCATAGGAATGTTAAACGGTGATAAGATTTCTATCAGAAGAAGCCTGGTTGGGTCCTATGAGACACCAGGACGGTTGGTTTCTCTAGTCAAACACTTGGTTCCAACAATGGTCAAGCAGATGTCCCAATGGGAAGCCCACCTGCAAGAACCTCAAGAAACAGGCAACATGAAGGCCACTGCAAACCTCTCCTTTCACTTTTCCCAGAATCTGGTCCTGGGAGCCAAGCAGCTGTGTCTAAGCCACCAAGAACTTTGGTCTTTATCTCAGACCATGAACATCATAGTTAAAGGAATGTGCATAGCAGCTTAATGCAGGAAGAGCTGGAAGAATGGCTGGCTTCCTGCTTCACATTCCCTCAAAGGTCTCCTGTATTGGCCATCAGGTTCTATTTTGTCCCATCCTGGGAAGGTGGAACAAAATTTCCTCCTAAAGGCCAAAGCCAGGAGAACACGCAACACAAATAAATGTAAAGCAACCAAATAGTGAACTACAGTCTGTCCTGCACATTCACTGGGGTTAGGGGCACAGGGACACTGCAAAAGTGGAAAACTACAACTGAAAAACTTTCTTTTTACTAACCTGAGAAAACATCGCTCTAAGAATATGTAGGTACTCCATGGTCAATGTCTGCCAGACACAATGTTTTTCTATCCAAAGCTGACCATAGAATTGTACTGGAGGACCTAGAGATTCCTTGAGTGAACATTTTTAACCTAATTCTCAAGACTGACTGTACATTAAACAGTTTCATGCTTGATCTTCGACTTCTCAACAAAACTGCTACTACCTTTGATTTGGAGAATGATAGAATGAAGGACAAGAATCAAGTCATGATTTCGTTTAGTAGGGAAGGAAAGGCAAGCACAGGTGCCTCAGATATCCTTACAGGTCAATCTACACTGTATAATTCTTTATGTTTGACCCCATTTTCACTGCAATGGCTCCATTGTATAAAATTATAAGAACTACATTTTGGTGAGGCACTAACACTCTAAGGTAGTGAAGACCTACAACTCCCAGAATCCTATAGCATGAACCCGTGGCAGTTGACCCACAGCAGTTCACCTGGGGTCAAATGCATGGATTCTATGATGCAGAAGCCCCTGAATTCTCTGCCAGGCCCCTCCAGCACTTCCTTGGGAGTGGATTATTCTGCACTGCATCTCCCACCCTTCGCTCCCTGAATCACCTGAAGGGCACCTTACAGCGGACAAGACTGGCTCAAAAAATGAGAGGGTATCTTGACCATCAGTCTGCTTGAATTCAGTAGTGCTCCTGAGACATGCAGATATTCAGTTTATTTGTTTTTAAAAAACAAAAGCTCATTGCTTTCTTCTCATAACAGATTACCACATGTTCAACCAAAGCGCTTCAGACTTTCTGACTTTCCTCTTCCTGGGAGGAAAAGTGACAGTTTTGGTCTCACTTCCCCATGAGAATGAACCACTGTGAATGATACAAGCTGCCTGTGCTATAGTAAGACAAACAGTAGTAATCAGCCTCGTCTTCACCCTGGACATTTGTGATGGATAAAGAGCCTGTGTTTCCAGAAACGGATGCCGTGAACCGATCTGGGATCCCTGCTCCCCTGCTGCTGCAGCCATTGCAGTGAACAGAGCGAGGGGCCTCTCCAGATCTCTGCTGATACCAGGAGATAACGCTGCTCCAGCTTCCACTGCTTTTGATGCAGGAGAGTGTGGCCGTCTGTCCCAGAGACCCAGACACTGAAGCTGACTGAGTCAATGTTCCCTGAGAATGGACACCTTTTACAAAAGAGAGAAAGAAATGGAAATGCAATTGGCTCATCTACCAATGTCTTGTTGCCCTTTAGGGACAGTCTAAAACCCTTTTTTGCCTTACCAGCATAGTAATCGAGAAGCACCAAGGACAGTAGGGCCAGGGCCATGGTGAGCTCTCCAAAAGGGTTGTCACCAACGATTGTCCAGAGGTTTCTCCTTCTTTACTATTTCAAATCAAAACAAGATGAGGAAGGAGGTCCTCATGCAAATCTGTCTCAGGCTATTGGCTGCCCTGGAAATTCATGTCTCTCTGAGAAACGTGTAACTTTTTGGAAGAAGCAAATATGGCAGGATCCATTGACATTATGGATATGGTTTAAAATTATGGCTAAAGCCTTTGCCCAAGGGGACAATGGCTAGGAGGAGGCTATGTCAACACAAAGAAGGCTGCTGGTAGAATATATATCCCAGGAACCAAGTACATGGTTTTGCCTGCAGACATGGGCCAGGACGGATCCTTAGCTTCTCCAGTTAGAAGGGTTGGGTCTGAGGGAGAGGGGGAGAAACTTCTCTGCCCATAACTCTGGACAATGAAATACAGCCAGCACTGGATAATTGCCCTACCTGGACCAGGAGGATCTAAATGGCTTGACATCAAATGGATGCAGTGAATTTCTAAACAACTTGGTGCTTTAAAGTGTGATAATATGAGGACGCCTTTGTTTTGTGAGAGTCCCACTCTGGTCTCTAATGTCAACTGGAGTTCCATTTTCCACAATAGGAGTTCAATCACACGTTCTGAAAGTCTTCTGTTTTGAAATGCGAGTGATTTAAAGATCGTTGGGAAAGGGAATCAAGCCTTTCCTTTTCTTTTCTTCCACATTCAAATATCTAAATCTGGAGAGACATTCAATTGCTCTCCAGCCCAGCTCAGTTGAACTCATAGGAATGTAAAAAGTTGACAATATTTCTATTAGAAGAGGTCTGGAAGGGTCCTATAAGACACCAGGATGATTGGTTTCGTTAGTCAAACCCTTGGTTCCAACAACGGTCAAGCAGATGTCCCGATGGGAAGCCCACCAGCAAGACATTCAGGAGACAGCTGTCCAAGAGGTGACAACATAAAAACCCTTGTAGCCCCTACTCAAGTCCCCCAGAATTTATTTATTATTAATCAATTATTTATGACGTTTATATGCCGCCCTTCTCACCCTGAAAGGGACTCAGAGCAGTTTACAAGTAATATACAATACAATAAATAAAATAAATGCAATATCCTCCTGGACACTTCTCTTTACTTTGGTCTCAGTGTTGGTTGCTCTGTTCCTGATCCAAACAAATTGTTTCTAGGCCATCAAAATCTCCGACCATGAACTTCATTGCAAAGGAATTTGCTTGGCAGCCCTTGAGCTTAAGGCAGAAATGAACTGGAAGGCCCTGGAAGAAGAGTAAAGCACTATGGACATGTTCCTGCTTCACATCACCCTGAAGCAGCCAAGTCTCCTGTGATGGCCATTAGGCTCCGCTTTGTCTCATTCTGGGAAGGTGGGGCAAGGTTTCCCTCTAAAGGCCAAAGCCAGGAGTTCAGGCAACGCATAAACTAGATATACAGGGTTAGTCAAAATGAATAGGCCAATAACAAAATTAATTTTAGACGAATGTATGTTTATTGTAACCAAACTACAGCTACGTAGCGACAGATAAACTATCAAAGTTTTGTCTCACCTTCAGAGATGTTCGATATGGGCGCCCCGTGTGACACGGCAGATGTCCAAGCGATAGTCCAGTTCATTCCACATCCGTTGCAGCACATCCGACGTAATGGCATCGAATGCAGCAACGTCTGGGAAGGTGTTCGTTGAGGTCCTAACCCTAACCCTAACCCTAACCCTAACCCTACCCCTAACCCTACCCCTAACCCTAACCCTAACCCTAACCCTAACCCTAACCCTAACCCTAACCCTAACCCTAACCCTAACCCTAACCCTAACCCTAACCCTAACCCTAAACCCTAACCCTAACCCTAACCCTAACCCTAACCCTAACCCTAACCCTAACCCTAACCCTATCCCTAACCCTAACCCTAACCCTAACCCTAACCCTAACCCTAACCCTAACCCTTGAAATTCTCGCTGGACCGTAATTACTGAAATTGTTTTAGCAAATGTCATCACACAAAACGCCTTCTCTTTGCTTGATTCCGCCATTTTGAAAACAGCGACCCCTAGCGACGCCTAGCGGCATTAACGTACATGTGTGTTGCTCAAAAAAAACTTTGATAGTTTATCTGTCGCTACGTAGCTGTGGTTTGGTTACAGTAAACATACATTCGTCTAAAATTAATTTTCTTATTGGCCTATTCATTTTGACTAACCCTGTACTTTTAATGTTACAAAATATTGAACTACAGTCAATCTTCCACGTTTGCTGGGGTTAAGGGCTCTATGGCTGATGTCCGTTGGACACTATATTTTTCTTCTCAAAGTTGCACTGAAGGACCTAGACCAAGATGCCTTGAGTGAACATTTTTAACCTAAACCAACAAAATCAAACTAAGAAATGTGCAAGGATGATTGTACTTTAACACACTCCTGCACCTGCAACAGACTTCTGTCTTTACATAACTTACCCTCAGCAAGAAATGGCCGGTGTGCATTGTGCATTCACACACACACCCAAATTGTTCTGCTTCCCATGCTATGAGTCCCAGTCCCAAACAGGAAAACTTTGTCCCAAAGTTGAGCATTTGGGTTGATCAAACAGCATCAACATCAGTATATCAGCCTGGGAAGCGACCACTCTGGCTTTACCCATGCAATAAGTGGCAGGCATCAAGAGAAGCCAATTCTATGCCATGTTCCTCCCAAGTAGACCTTTCCTCTTCAGCAGCCCCTGGAAACTCTGCTTATTCACAGACATTTGTTCAGCACTTTGGAGGTTCAAACTAGACAATATAACAAATTGAAGTTGAATTCAGACAAGACAAAGGTCCTCCTGGTCAGTCACAAGGCAGAACAGGGTATAGTGTTTCAGTTTGTGCTGGATGGGGTTAAACTCCCCCTGAAGACGCAGGTTCGCAGTTTGGGAATTCTCCAGGATTCATCGCCTGGAACCTCAGGTTGCGGAGGTGGCTAGGGGGGAGTTCGCACAATTAAAACTTGTGCGCCACTTGCACCCGTACCTTGGGAAGTCAGACTTGGCCATGGTGGTCCATGCTCTTATTTCATCCAGGATAGATTGCAGCAACATGCTCTATGTGGGGTTGCCTTTGAAGACTGTTCGATAGCTTCAAATAGTCCAATGAGAGGCAGCCTGGTTAATAACTGGGGCAGAATACAGGGAGCATACAACTTCCATGTTGCACCAGCTCCACTGGTTGTCAGTTTGCTACCGAGCACAATTCAAAGTGCTGGCTTTAGCCTATAAAGCCCTAAACTGCTGCAGCCCAGTTTCCCTGTCCAAACGCATCTTCCTCTACAAACCACTGCGGAGACTAAGATCCTCCGGGAAGGCCCTGCTCTTAGTTCCGCCACCAGCACAGGCACGATTGGCGGGGACGAGAGATGGGGCCTTCTCACTGATTGCCCCTTGGCTATGGAACTCCCTCCCTGGTGAGATTAGGTCAGCGCCCCCCCCCCCCTCCTGTTCTTCAGAAATATGGTACAAACCTGGCTGTGGGACCAAGCCTTTGGGATAGTGCAATAAGGTAATACTAGGAAACCATCCAATATGGCTGGTTTGAGATGGTTTTAACAATTTGATTTTAAAGTGGATACAACTGATTTTGATGTTTGTATACATGTATAGTTTGCTTTATTCCAGCATTGAATATCTGCCATATATAAGTTATGCTTCACCCTGAGTCCACTTTGAGATGAGAAGGATGAAATATAAATGCTTTAAATAAATAAATAAATAAATAAATAAATAAATAAATAAATAAATAAACAAATGTCACATTTTTTAACCTGATGCTATTGTATGTGAGTTGCTTAGCTTGCCGATGGAAACACTGGCTCAGGTTGCTGAGACATGTAACTCTGAGATTATCCCATAGAGGGAAGGAGAAAGGGGTCCATTGTAGGAAATGCGGAGTTCTCAGTTGAACGATGACATTTAACTGGACCTTCCCATTGGGTTAACTACTGCCTTTCATCTGGAGAATTAGGGCATGGGGGACAAGGATCAAGCCCAGCATGATTTATTAGTGCAGGAGGAAATAACAAGAGGTCTCAGGTGTCCTTCAGGATGTGTCCACACTGTAGAGCAGGCATCCTCAAACTGCGGCCCTCCAGGTGTTTGGGCCTCCAACTCCCAGAAGCCCTAACATGTTTGTTCAATTCTGGGAGTTGAAGGCCCAAACAGCTTGAGGGCTGCAGTTTGAGGATGCCTGCTGTAGAATTTATGTAGCTTGATCCAACATGAACCGCCATGGCTCCATGGTGTGTAATCCAGGGAGATGGAATTTTCTAGGGCAGAGAAAGGAAATGACTTGCAAGTCCTAGTCATAGCCCTTCAAGTGAAGGAAAACACCATGATTTCCACAGTCTCCAGCAGGTCCCCCCAGCTTTTCAAAAGCAGCAGGGTTTGGTGCACTGAAACTCCCAGCTCTATCAATTTGGATCATTTAAAAGATGCATATCTGTCTACAGGTTACTGGCCCCAAAGATGAAGGGGTTCCTTGGTCGACAAGGTGCTTAATTTTTGGCAACAGTCCTGAAAAAGAGGGGAGGAAGTGCAATCTTCTCAAGCACATGTGAAACGTTTTCAGGCTACACAATTCAGAACTTCTGACTTTCCTCTTCATGGGAGGAGAAGCAACGGTTTTGGTCTCACTTCCCCATGAGAATGGACCACTGTGATACGAGCTGCCTGTGCTGTACCAACACAAACAGTAATAATCGGCCTCGTCTTCGGCCTGGGCATTTGTGATGGTTAAAGTGCCCATGTTCCCAGAAGCGGTTGCTGTGAACCGATCTGGGATCCCTGGTCCCCTGCTGCAGCCATTGCAGTGGACAAAGCGAGGGGCCTCTCCAGATTTCTGTTGAACCCAACCAATACCACTATCCCAGCTTCCACTGCCTTTGGTGCAGGAGAGTGTGACCTTCTGTCCCAGGGATCCAGACACTGAAGCCAGCTGAGTCAACATTCCCTGAGAATGTACACCTTTGACAAAAGAGAAGAACAAATGGAAGTACAAGCAGTTCATCTAACATTCCTTTGTTGCCCGTTAGGGATGATCCAAAATCCTTCACTGCCTTACCAGCACAGCAATTGAGAAGCACCAAGGACAGCAAGGCCAGGGCCATGGTGAGTTTTTCAGTGCAGTTGGACTTTCTGAAACACACCGACAATTGTCTCGGTGCTTCCCTTTTCCTTCCTTTTTCAATTCAACCCAAAGTGAGGAAGGAAACTTATGCAAATCTGCCCCAGGGCCATTGGCTATGCTGGCGTCTCATGTCTCTCTCAGTAATGCGTAAATAAATGGCAGCAGCAAAGACAGCAAAATCAATTGACATGATTTTTTTAATATAAAACGGAGATGACTATTGCTCAGGATGAGAATGGCTTGGAGGATCTAAATTGGCTTAGATGAGTCTCAAAGCAACAGGGTGCTTCAACATAGGATAACATGAGGACATCTTACTGATTTAGTAAGAGTCCTGTCTAGCCTCTAATGTTATCATAGTGTTGTCAGGGACAGACCCCGCCACCAGGTCAAAAATATTATATATTAGCTGTCACCTGCCACGCGTTGCTGTGGCCCTGTCTGTGGATAGAAGTTTTGTGTGCGTATGTATGTGTATATATGTGGTTTTGCGCATGCGTTGTAATGGGGAACATGAGAGAAGCCTCCTCGCAGGATTGCAAGACATCCGGGCGTCCCCTGGGCAACGTCTTCGTAGACGGCTGATTCTCTCGATCCAGAAGCAACCAGAGACGACTTGCAGCATGCAAACAAGGAAGCAAAACAACCAACGGTCCTTTTCAGGACCAACCATGACAATAATCTCAATCAACATCGAAGGCATGTCAGCTGCCAAAGAACAACTGCTCTATGAACTGTGCCGAGATAAGAAATTTGACGTGCTGTGTGTCCAAGAAACACACAGGGATGAACGACAGAAACGACCCAAAGTCCCAGGAATGATCTTAGTAGCGGAAAGACCACATACGCAGTATGGAAGCGCTGTCTTTGTCAAACCAGGCCTCCAAGTCAGCAGTGCCCACAATACTGAAGAAAACGATATCGAGGTTATAACAGTTGAGCTTAATAACATCACCATCACCTCTGTGTACAAGCCCCCAAATGAAGAGTTCTGCTTCTCCTCCCCCGAGAACTTTGACAGGCACCAAAGGGCGGTAGTAATTGGTGACTTCAACAGCCATAGCCATGTATGGGGCTATGCCCAAGAGGACAGAAACGGAGAGGCTGTCCTCTCTTGGTCTGAACTGCACAAACTATCACTCATCCATGATAGCAAGCTCCCACCATCCTACAACAGCGGGAGATGGCACCGAGGTTATAACCCAGACCTCTTATTTGTGAGCGACAGCATTGTACAGCAATGCACTAAATCAGTGGGACCACCAATTCCAAACACACAGCACCGACAAATAATATGCCAAATGTTCCCAACAATAAGGCCTCAGGAAGTTCGATTTAAACGAAGATACAACTTCAGAAAGGCAGATTGGACTAAATTCTCAGACATGTTAGATGACATGATCACATCGGTCGTGCCAATCCCTGAGGAATACAAACATTTTATTGAAATAGTGAAAACCTGCTCACGGGCCTCTATACCGAGAGGCTGCAGAACCCACTACCTTCAGGGCATTACTCCTGAAACAGCTGCCTTGCTGGAAAACTATTACAGGCTCCACAATGAAGACCCATTTAGTGAGCAGACTCTTCAGGCAGCGCAGAACATTGTGTCCTCCATCTCTGAAGCCAAGAAAGAACAGTGGATCAAGCTGATCACAGAGGTCGACATGGGCAGGAGCAGCCAGAAGGCGTGGAGGTTGCTAAGACGGCTGAGCAATGACCCCTCACAAACTAATACCCATGCCAACATAAAGGCAGATCAGATAGCACACCAACTCTTGAAGAATGGGAAACCCAACCTTGCCACCAAAGTAGGAAAGAAACCAATAGCCAGACAACCAGAGATTGAGAACAACAACCTCCATGAACCCTTTACATCTACTGAATTGGACATGGCTCTCAACAAATGTAAGAATGGCAAAGCAGCTGGCTTGGATGATCTACAGATGGAACAAATCAAGAACTTTGGTCCAAAAGCAAGGTGCTGGCTGCTGGAGCTGATGAACAACTGCACTGCATCCTGTCAGATCCCCAAAATCTGGAGGAAAGCAAGAGTCATGGCCATCTTGAAGCCAAGCAAAGACCGTAATGACCCAAAAAGCTACAGACCAATCTCCCTGTTGTGCCACCTCTACAAAGTTCTGGAGAGACTTATTTTGCATAGAATTATGGAAAATATAGACCCCTGTCTGATCCCACAGCAAGCTGGCTTCAGAAAAGGCAAAAGCTGCACATCGCAAGTGCTGAACCTGACTCAGCACATAGAAAATGGCTTTGAAAGGCAGCAGATCACAGGAGCTGTCTTCATAGACTTGTCAGCAGCCTATGATACTGTGAACCACCGCCTCTTC